ATTTTTGAATAAATTTCTATAGTATTTATTTTTTTCCTAATACTTTTCTGTAGCATGCGTCAAGATATTAAGCACAAATATCAAAGTATTTGGAAGACGAGTCATCAACTTAGACGACGTATTATTTCGGAGAAATTCTATATGATCACAAATTTTTAAGTATCTTTTTATATATGCACAGGGTAATTACTATTGGTTTTTTTTCTTTTAAGAGTGACCACAAAGAGGCTTGATGTAAAATGAGAGTTTTACCATTACATTAATCTCTTAATATTTTGTCTAGGTCAAGGTTGGTGTGTAAAATAGTTTGTCGAAAATTGATAAATAAGTTATTTTTGTTAAATTTTAATACTGTTTTCTTTGTAAATATTTTACGACAACAGAATACTATAAAACACATAAAATATTTTTCAAAAAATATTTTACGCTCAAACAAATAGAGCCAAAATGAGAGCTAGGGTTTACTCCTGTGTGTATATATATACTTAACTTCTTTTAGTAATATATCATAGTATGTAAGGATAATTCAATAAATTTATAAAAATCACCCCAAAACCCGTCGGGTTTTTCAAAGTACCCCCCTCCCGTCTCCATTTATATGATGGGTTTTCCAAAATTGCCCCCAACGGGATGGAAAATTTTGCCATCCCTAAGCCCAAGCCATTCAGTGGACAAACTTGGGCTGCTATTTTGAAACAAAGGTTTTGGTTTGGGTTGAGAATATTGTGAACCAATCTTAGTTGGGTGGCCCAATTCAAAACTAAGGTTTGGGTTGAGAAAATTTTGGCCCAATTCAACCCTAAACTGAAGTGAATCGATTCTTTGTAAAAAAATAAAAAATAAAAAATAAAAAATAAGACATAAAAGATGAACGGACACACTGAAGAAGGCATTGCGATTTATGAGACATAAGCACAAAAGAATAGGAAAAATAAATTTGAAGATAAAAAAAAAAATAATCACAACTCAGACCAATTTAATCTAGGTCGATTAAATGAGTAGAACCGAGGGGCATGGAAAGCCCAGTAAAGAGTTGGAGCTCGACCCAGCCCATTCACCCAATTAGCTAGTTTGCAGATCCATATTCCATAATCCATATTCCATAATCTAAGCTCTTCTATTGTCCCACAAAGACTACAGCTTATCATTTTCTAGTAAGAGTTGACTGGACATTGGAGATAATATCTAAAATAGATTGTTAATATTTTCTCCAGCCTAAAATAACTATGTATTTATTTATTTCTTTCAAAATAAGTTTATTTTTTTACAAAATTATTTGAACACAATTTATTAAACTTTCCAAATTGGCAACTATTTTGAATTATTTTTATTATTTTTTCAAGAGCAATGATACTCTATCCGATCAAATTGGCCTACTCCTAATCCTAATCCAAATCGTATATGTAACTACCACGTAATTAGCTAAATAGTTGATATTTTATTTACGGTTAAAAATAACAAAACTAAGTATGGAAAGAAACATGTTTTGACGACCCATCTCCATCTCTTTTATTTATCTATTCATCTTCTTCTTTAACTACTTTTCTTTCAGTGAGGAGTTGATAATGGGTTTGGTGGAGGCATCGTAATGAATTTTTGAAGGTTTTTTTTTTTTTTTTTTTTGCTAATCAAATCCTCAAAACTGATAAAATATATATTGAAAAAAAAAAAAAGAATAGAAAAAAGAACGTAATAGGAAGTTGGATGATGAACATGGTGTTAGAGGAAAGGGTAGAACTTAAAAGCCTTTGGGAGAAATCCTTTGGGAGGCCGTACTAATGAACCTTTGAAGGTTTTTTTTTTTTTTTTAAAATCAAATCCCAAAACTGATACAATATACAGAAGCCAAAATATATATTGAAAAAAAAAAAAAAAAAATGAATACAAACTTTCAATTTTATTAGGGTTTGTTTTTTTTCTCTTCAAGTAAATATATACGTTTATATGTATTTTTTACTTTGATTTTATGAACCAATAGAGACTTCACTTTCTCATTAATTTTGCAAAGTGAGAAAGAGAGAACTGTAAGTCATAAATCAATCAAGGAAGCACGATTCGGACTAGGAGTAGGCCAATTTAATCTGACAGAGTATCGTTACTCTTTTTTCAAATCAGCAATATAAATATTTAAAATCTAACGAACTAATTTTGAAATTTAAAGAACATGTTTAACGGAACTCTTTCCTGGCAAGAGTAATGAATTTTTCATATTTAATTAATAATAATAATAAAAAAAATTATCCCACTACCCACAAATATGCACCCAAATTTCTACTGTGCCAGGGTATTACATCATGTAGCCCATAATTTAGACCGTCTTAAACATTTAAGTCCAGCGTTGAACAGTTGATTACTCTCCCACTCTCAATCCTTTTTTTTTTTTTTTTTTTAATCTAACTTGTTAAGATGATGGACTTTAGTAATATTTTTTCTATAATATTATATTAGTAATGAATGAATTATCAAATATATTTACAGTGAGTTCATAAGATCTGATGGTTTATATTAAAGGTGGCAAATTACAACACGACACGACAATACGACACGAGTTAAAAATGATACGAGTTAAAAAGATTTAAGTTTGATATAAACAGATTTGGGTCATAAAATGATCAACACAATTAACCTGTTTACTTAACCGTGTCGGGTCAGGATTGAGGATTTCAACCCGTGTAACCTGTTTATGACTCATTTAACTCAACATGTTATAATCGTGAATATGACCTATGTAATATCTTACCTTTTTAAACCCAATTATTATGAATAGTTAAATCATTTCAACATAAATCTTGTCTATGCCTTATGATTTTTTTTTTATTTTGAATATTTGAGTTAATTATAACAAATTTTTTCTATTATTTTGTATTTGATCATTTTGATAAACAGGTCATTAAACGGGTTAACAGGTTTATTTGTTTAATAAACGGGTTGGGTTAATGTTGATGATTCTTGATACGATTATTAAATGGGTTGGGTTTGGATTTACCAATTTAGTATAATACCTTACATCGACACGACCCACGAACACGAATTGCTACTCGTAATTTATATTTTATAAGTTCAATATAAGAAGGTTAAATTGATAATATTAGAAAAAATAATACTTTGACTTTTTAAATGAAATAATTATTTTAAAGCAGTTAAAAATTAAAAAGGTAAATATTTAATTTAAAAATAAGGACGCTCGTAGATTTAAGAGATAAGTTTTTGAAATCTCATTTTTGAATTGTATTCTAACTTAAATGATGTACCTGGTATGAAATTGCTACATGTGCTTTAAGAAAAAGGATAAAAAAGACAAATGACAATGAAGAAAAGATGCTTATTGTCTCCATAGATAGAGACCCAACCCACCTTGGCACTTGGCAGTCAAAGCAAGTTAGCTACCAACTCTATTTTTGCCACTTTAATTATACCCACAAAGCCCTGCTATGGTGCCTGCTGTTTTCATAAACTAAACTGTAAATGTAAAGAGGATAATTATTTAAAGTTTGAAAGTGATATTTACGCTCTCGCTCACATTAAAATTAATCGAAATTTTTTAATTCTTCAACTCCCACACAAAGATAAACGGTGAATACATTAATTGTTTCCTCTCATTTGTTGAACAAATTTTTATTTAATTTAATGTCTTATTTGAAATACTAGGTTTAGATGTCAATAATCATCTTCCTTATTTCACCAAAAATAATATATAAAAACAAAAAAAAAACAAAAACAAAACAAAAAAGTTTTAATCACAGCCATTAATTAACTTCATTCAGAATATGATAATGCTCATTCCCCGTCTGTGTGATCTATGAAGAGTAAGGACATCTAATACAGGTGAGGCTCATGGAATCAAAGTCTACCAATTATATATACACTTATATCTTCGTATTGTACAAAGCTTTTTTTTTTCTTCTTTTGGGTACTAAGCTTTATATGTTAATTATATGAGATGAAGAACACTGTTCCTTAAAAAATAAAATTAAAAAAAAAAAATTGAAGAAATTTTTTAATATATCTGACATCACTTTACCAGACAATTCCAAAGTTGGGTCAGAATTCGCGGCCCCCGCTTTCAGATTTCATTCCACACGTTGAATGCGTTGGGGGTAACATATGAGTGGACATAACTTCAATGCACCTAAACCCTAAATTCTCCATTTTACATTGATAATTTTTCTTTTCATTTTTGTCTACTATTAAGAAATAAAACATATAATTCCATGTTTGGAGTTTTGAACCTCAATCAAAGTACTATTTTATTAATTTTATTTTTTAATTGATACTCACATATACATATTTCTACTTAGATTCAAATCCTGACATCTTTTAAAAAAATATAAATTTAGTATTAGTTACTATTATATTAATTTAAAAACTAATTTTCAAACCATTTTATTTAAAGACTAGTCTCCATGGACATCAACAAATACAAAATAGAATATTTGACATTTCATTGATACATAAGCATTCTAAAAGGATACATGATTTGATAATTAGTGTATATCATTGTAGAATTGTAATTAGGTGACTATATATAAAAATAATAATCGTTCATGATCCATGATGAATGAAAACAATTTTACCTCCATCACGCCAAGAGTATATTTGCATAGTTCTTATGATGTAACTAAGGAAAATATCAAAATAATATATAATTAGAGTGATTGGTTGTTCCATCCGAAACATCTTGCATCTTATTCCAACAAGATGCATCTCACGATAATAAAAATAATAAATTAGAGTGATTGGTTGTTTGATCGAATTGACTTGAATAACATGAGATATAGTAGCTATTAAGTAGCATGAGATATGCTATAGTACCTATTAAGGTGTACAAGCAATTTAACCGTTAGATTATGAGTCCTACAATATGTGAGTCCTACAACGTGATTCACATGATCTAACGGTTGATCTTGCGTCGAATCGAGTTTAATATATTTTTTAATTATTAGTCTAAACTCTATATAAGTCTTTGGGGGTTAGGAGCACGTTATTGTAGTCCGTGTCACTGTCTTGAACCAAAAACATGAAACTTCCATTCTTCTACGTAGCCATTGAAACCTAGCTCTCTCCTATTTCTTATTAAAAATCTTCATTAAAAAAAAGTCCACTGTTTGGAATATTTGTGTTTTACGCATGCAGCAGTATTTTCTTGAGGGAGATCCAGCAGAAAGTGTAGATAAAGAAATGACACCTTCCACAGCACTAGTAGTTTCCAAGGAGGTGGTCTAAGCAGAAGGAGAGGTACTAAATTAAGGAACCGTTTGGACGCACTTAATCATGTCCACCGACATGGCCGACCGGGGGATCATTAGCCGGAAAGTTGGCCCGTGGCCCAAGTCAAAGTGTCCGGCTCCGTTTCTATCAAAAACATATGATCTTTTAGACGAAGAAGAAGAGATCAGAGGTACAGGAAGATCAGAGGCAAGTGGTGGCCGGAGGATCGTGTCGTGGAATGGCGAGGGCACCGGCTTTGTTGTGTGGTCTCCGGCAGAGTTCTCGGAGCTCATGCTGCCCAGATACTTCAAGCACAATAATTTCTCAAGCTTCATTCGTCAGCTTAATACCTATGTACGTCACACTCTTAATTTCCTCTCTCTTTGTGTGATGTATATACATGCATACACACATATGGATGATATATGTAGTTGCATTCACAAATATCATTGATCCTGCTTCAATTAATGCATACCAATAAAAACGGTTCATATTTACTTCATTACACATCTAATCAAACTTATTATGCTTACACAACCCCTCATTCAATCTTTTCAACAAAATTTAAATAATTAGATTATTAGGGTAAGTTTATTTATTTATTTTTAAAGTAAGCAACCCACACTATTCCTTTTGCCCACACTTGGGACATTTAGGACTTGAATCTATATATATCGAACCATCTCCGTTTTCTTCCATTTATTCTAAGGCGAAGATACAAGAATTCCTTACTCAAAATCAAAGAACTATTCATGAGTTGTTGAATAGAAATAAAGAATGCTAATCTTTGATAATTTTATTGATTATTCCATTGTTCTCAAAGGGTCTATTCAACCACTTAAAATATATAATGTGATAAAAGAATCAATTAAAAAGATTGCATAATTCTAATTTGAAATAACCTATTTTGATGAGAAAGCACCATGGACTGGTAGATTAGGGTAGTGATATTAATTTGCACTCCATTTTTTATTTTTTTGTTAGACCGATACATCAAATGGTAGAATAATGTGGAGAAAATAAGTTTTGAGAAGAAACGAGATGTCTAGCTCAAAAGTGCTTTTTAGTACAAGTTCTTGGAAAGAGAGGTAAAAGGACTAATAGGAGTCAAAAAGCATTACGATATCTCTGAGAGTAACAGAGATCTGAACCTCGTGAAAGTTTCAAATGTGTGATCTTCTTCTATCTCATGTGGGTCCCATGGTCAGTGTTTTAGCTCCATCTGGTCCCACTTGAGGAGGAGTCCGTCGTGATCCAAAGATCTCTGCTCTGAATTATTGGTGATGGACTAATTCAATCTTAATTACTTATTGGTTTCAACACATTAATTAATGGCAAGTGTCATGTTAGAATAATAAGTGTTCAAAGTCAAAATAGTAACACTCCGGTCAAAATAGTAACACTCCGGTAGGTTCCTTTTGTTTTAGGAAACCAACTTTGACTAAATTTCATCTTTTTTTCTCCCCTTAAACCGCCCCACTTGAATACAAACAAAAATGTCAGGTTCTTTAGCCCGTGGCATCTTCAGAATATAAAATTTTAAGATATCTCCTAATATAATATCTCAGTTTTCTCACTTGTTATATGTGGTAATGGGACGCACTTAATAAATTAAAAAATAATTTAGATTGAATTACACTAATATCAAATTTAATAATATAGTCTAATCATATCATAACATAACATGTCAAGCTAAAAAGAAGTAGACTCGACAAGTCGCTTATAGAATGCCGACTACTAAGTGAAAACTTTCTACTTCATTAGGGAAGGGGGAAGCGAAGGACAATGAATATGTACTTGGCATACATAGATTGTCACATGCATTTATTTTTGAGTTTGAGTCATCTGTCTGACTCTAACCTTGCAAAACAGGGTTTCAAGAAAACAGCATCGAAACGGTGGGAATTCCAGCATGACAAGTTCCAAAAAGGGTGTAGGCATCTGCTGGTGGAGATCAGCCGGAAAAAGTGTGAGCCCAGCGCCTTTCCGGCATACCTAAAAGCCTCTTCTGAAGAGAATGCAGCGTCGACAGCGGCGGAGGAGAACAATCGTCTCCTACTCATGGAGGAGAACAACAACCTGAGGAAACAGAGGCTCGAGCTACAAATGCAGATATCACATTTCAAAGCACTAGAGTTGAAGCTGTTGGAATGTCTCTCTCAGTACATGGGTAATCATGATCAATGCAAAATTCGGAGGCTATGTTAGATTTATATATATATATATGCTGAGTGAGTGAGTGAGTGACATGTTTAAAAAAAATGCCAAACAGTGTCTTGTAGTATTGTTCATGGCATGCTTTTCATCCAGCATTTTGATAATTTGATCATCAAAATTCAATGTTGGTAGTCAAATATCCATAATCTCATAAATTCAAATAATCTAATGAAACTTATGGGCTGATTTTTCTTTTACTCAACAAGATGGAAAAAACATTCCCTAAATAACATTTGACATCACAAAGGGAATTTCTTAGACTAAAATTTATATAAATCACAATGTCTCTAATTCGACTAATTTTGAGTCGAGAACAATATCACGATGCACTCATTTGGTCATAGACCATGTTTGCCATACAAATCCGAGAAGAGTTGAACCTGAAATTAATGGTACGGGTGAGACGATGTTTGAGGCGGGTCACTAATATTATTAAGAGGTTACATAAGTCATGATTTATCAAAATAAATCCAATCACGTAACTTACTTATTTAAATGATATTCTTTTTTAATTTGAAATGATAAACATTTTTGATAATTTTGTTGCAAAATTATCAAAAATATTTACTTAATAGTATAAGTTAGTATATGTTAATTTAACTAAGTTACTTTAATTATACAGATCAAGATAAGTAATTCTCACCAAGGAACTTGTGGTCCAATAATATATTTTTTATTTTTCAAAATGGATGGTGAAGATTGGGGTTTATAAAGGACAAAGTGGGTGTGTGAGTTTCTTGTTAATGACAATAAAAAAAAAATAAAAATTTATAAATACAATATTTCCTCACGTGAACTAGATGATTTCGAACTAGAGAAAGGGACCAAAATAAATAAATAAATAACTAAAAAGTCCCAAAATCCTCCCATTGCCCATCCGCCTCCTCCCCGCTTTCGCCTGCTCCCGACCATGGCCGCCGCCTCCTGCCACCTCCTGCCACTGCCCACAACCATCTCTCTCCTCTCTAAACCCATCAACAATATACCCATCCCTGTGACATGTATGAAACTCACTCCTCCTATACACACACACACACACACACATACTCTGTACTCATAGGGCTTCGATTTCTTCTTGTTTAGCTAGGGCGTAGCAAGCAGTAGTGAATATATGTATAATCAATGAATTTCTTAAGAACCCGAAACGAGGGGCTAATCATGGCAACCGACTCACTCTTGACAAAGGCGGAAGACGAGAAAGGGACCGTGATTCAATTTTCCTTTCTACTAATTCACATGGTATCTCTAGTGATCATAATCGCAGACCTAAGGCTTCAAAGCCAAAGGGCAAGAACACTTCTGAAGAGAGCTCATTATCCCATTTTAACAGAGATAGTGTGTCTACCTCTGGGGTTCATTTTGATCTGTACAACCATCCAGATTTTGTCATAAATTACGAGAATGCGAAGTTTTTCATCATCAAGTCTTTCAACAAAGACAATGTTCACAAAAGTATTAAATACAGCATTTGGGCTAGCACAACCCTTGGAAACAGAAAGTTAGATGCTGCTTATCGTGAAGCAAAGGGGATGAAGGGTCATTGTCCAATCCTTCTCTTCTTTTCGGTACGTTACTTGAAGTCTGAAACTCACAATTTCTTTGCCCTACTTGCCATAGCTGTTGGAACAACTTGGATGACTTGGGATTTATTGAAACTATTCTAAGCAATCAGATTCTTATCGAATGAAAAAAAGATAAAAATGAGACTAAATTATAATTGTTGGATAGAATACCTGCTAAGTAGTGAGCAGCTATTACATCAAACCCAGATTAAAAAAAATGAGAGAGAGAGGGAGATAACAATTTTAGAGAGAGGAAGATATCATGAAAGTAAAATTAAAATCAAAAGATAACAATTTTAGGGAGAGGAAGATATCATGAAAGTAAAATTAAAATTAAAATTATTAAATTTACTTTCTGTTTTTTACTTTTAAAATATTAAAAATAAAATCTACTTATTAAATATTATTAAATTATAATTTTACTCTTGAAAAAATTAAAAGTTAGAAAATGAAAACGTTAGTAAAATGACTCAAAAGTATTTTTCTTTGACTTTAAAGAGGTGGAGTGGAGTTGAGAAATTGTCAAGTACTTTGTCAATCTAATCTGAGCTCTGGTAATAAACTTATTCTTAATTTATTTCTTAATTTATTTATTTTTTAACACTGATAAACTTATAAGTTTATTTAGACTACAATAACTCCTTTCAATCTTATTTGGATTAGGATTAAACAAGTCATGAGTCATGACACAACAAAGATTTTTACACTGTCTCCTCTCAATCACTGAGAATCTTAAACAACTACACTGTCAAAATTCCTTTTTTCCAAACATTCATACCAATTTCTTGTATGACAACAAAAACAAATTATATATTTAAAGTTTGATGAGTACCATTGGGAGTCTTCACCCACACGAGCAGTAATATAAATCATCGTGTAACACTATTGCTATACATGCACTTTATAAATAAAAAAAAATAAAATAAAGGCTTAAGAGTAAAATTTCCTGAACTGGGAAACTTGCAACTGACTGAACTTTTAAAAATGCAAGAAAGTATGTAAAAAAATTACAGATCACCCATCTGGCCAAGTTCATGGGAATGTTGACCGTTAAAAATAATTGACTTATTTTAAAATACCATACTGTCCTTGGACGCATGAAAGGACTAAAATGCCCTTAATTTCCATCATCCAAAGGCAAGCTCACCGCTGCCATCACGCCGCGAAGCATCCTCGTCGGTGCATGATTCTTCTACAGAGCTGCGACAAGTCCATGGCAGAGAGCTCCGCCGACTGTCGTGGCCCGCTCCTTGCCGATATGTTCAGTCCATGCTCTCTGTGAAGCCATCACCGTCATCGAAGCTTTCTGTTGTGTTGCCCTTGCCATTTGTTCAGTCCACGTCTCGCCGGGCAGTATTTCACTAGTTCAGTCTCGCCGAGGTCACCGAAGTCGGCCATATTTCTTCCTCACCGAAGTCGATAGCGGAAGACAACGCTGAAGACCAAGTTGATGCCGTCGTTGTTCGCCTGCCTCACCGTCACCAAAACCCAAACAACCCCACTTGATCTGAACCCGAATGAATAATATAGCAGATCCCATAGCGGTGTTGATCTGACCACCAACCACAACCCACTACTGACCGAACCTAATTTTTACCTCCATCCCTACCACCATCACTAATCAGATCTACTCACAAACCCTAATTTCAAAGACAAATCCAACCCACAAACTTCGGTACATGATCACTACAACAATCACCATCATGCCGACCCATTCCACCAGATAATGGACCATCACAGTGAATCACAGTCGTCGATTCTAGGTCACCACCAAGAACCTCTATCTCGCTTCGATCTCTGAACGAAGACAATGATAGACTGAAATCGTTCTGTTCGAAGACGACGATAATGGTAGTTTTTGACAAGGTCACTGTAATTTCTCAGCCTAAAAAACTAGCAGAGTCTGTGAATGAGGGTTCGTAAGTGGTCTGTGAATGAGGGGCAGGGGAAACTATGAGGCGGCAAGGATATGGCGCGATTCCGGCGATGAGGTTGCTCGGTATCGAGATCCGTCCACTCGACCACCATTTTTTGCAACAATCTTGGCCGTATCCCTCGCCGTCACTGAGCCACAGATTGGGCTCCGGCGACTAGCAGCGGTGGAATAACGCCGGATCCGTCACTGCTGTGCCAGTCTCTGATTTGCGCCGAAATCACAAAAACTCACCGGATCCAGCGGGGATGGGCTGGTGGTGAGTTCATCATATGTTATATATATATATATATATGTATGTGTGTGTTTACACTGTTATCTCTTGTGTTTACCACATCAATAAGTCAATTCAGGGCAGCATCGTCTTTTTATTTTTCGGTGGCCTGGGCAAATTGTAACAAATTAAAAATTCAGGAGAATTTCTTATAGTTTCTGGAGTGAATTGCAAAACTCCCATGATTCAGGGGTATTTTAGACTTAATCCTAAAATAAATTACAGCTTTTTAAGAAGATTAAACGCTCTATGGACAAATATCGAAATAAACTCCTTTTAAGGTTAAAACCACCTTCTAAAGGGTCCCACTCCAATGAGGGAAAAAACAGGAAATTCCATACCGCTTGTCAGTGTTTTCACACACTGCCATACACTACATTCTCTATCAGTTTCTTCAAGCTCCCCAAATCAAACCTCATCTCTTTCCTTCTACTGTTACGAATATTGATACGCGCACAATTACACACATATTTATGAATTCGTATAACTGATATAGGCAAATTAAGGTGAGAATGATGGGGACTCCATTGGGCCCAGTGATAGGAAGGTACCCTTCATTGAATGGAAGTACTGATCGTGTGAGTGGGACTGAGATCATAATGCAAAATCGAAAATGCAGAGATGTTCCCTTTCTCATCCTCTTTATTGCTTTCTGGGTTGCAATGATAGTCAACTCCAGCTTTGCCTTTAATCAAGGTAAACCACTAAGGTAATAACCAAATTTCTCTCTTTCTACGCACACAAACACACACATTATCTGAATCACTAAAATGGGTATGCAGTGTTATGATTTACATATATGTGGTTTTTTTTTTTTTTTTTTTTTTTTTTTTTTTTTTTTTTTTTGGGTATTATCTCTAGTGTTTTGAACAACAATTTTGAATATAAAGTTTCCTGATTTAATGAACAATTAATCATTTTTAGGAGTAATTTACCTTTATAGTTGTGCAATTGTTGCGTTAAATCTGTCATCTTCGTGTATGGTTTGTAATTTAGTTATCCCACTTAGTTGGATGGGTGTTACAGGGATGGATTGACTGCAATTGAATTTGAGTTGGGTTAAAACCCTAATATTAGAATGGTGCTTTCAAAAATTTTAATCCCGGAGTTATTGCACGTTAGTTGTTGGTGTGGATTATATGTGACTTCTCAAGATTAAATTGTACATGTTGATTACGAGTTCCAAATGGCTACTATTTCCACCACATATACTGCTGATACCAATCCAGCCTACCAGAACACCAAATTTCATACTTAATACTAACTATTATCATTTTGTGTTTAAGAATGACAAGTGCAGATGACGTTAGTATAGAAGTTCATGAGAAAGAAAGAGTTTCAACTTATATCATGATTATTGTGCTACCACAAATGATATCCACCTGTAAAATCAGTTTATGGCTCAACTGTCCAACTCAATAAATGATTGTTTGGTTGTTTGATAATTTTACAATAAATACCTTACATATGAAATTATTAAGTTCTTGGAATATGCAATTGTTTAATTGTTGTTGGCAAGGATGGGATGCACTTTTAGTGCCTTCTAGAACAGATACATCTCAAAGAATTTTGTTTAAAGAGTTATTACAGCAAGACTTTAGATGAATTTGCTTATATCGGATTAAAGGAATTGCACTTGCCGCCCTTTCTTGATCATCCCATCCCTTCAAACACCCCCCTGGGCACAATGAGATGAAAAATTATATTGTTTGTTTGTCTGTGTATACATCCAAGTCAAAACATTAGTTCTGACACAAGTATCTCTGTCTCTGTCTCGTGATTCTGGTAGACTCACTAGCCAATGATTATAAACCTTATTGAATGGTTTCATGGTTCCTCTCAGTACAGTTATAAACATAAAAGTGAAAGTGGGAGGAATATAAATAATACACGTGCTCTGAGGTGTTGTTCATAATCAATCTCCCAATAATGATATTGACATACCCCTGCACATATATTTTTTTTATTTATTTATAAATATTCTTCTATCAGTTTCCATGCATTTTGACTGTGTATATTTGACCAGGTTAACATATGGTTTAGACTACAAAGGGAATGTATGCGGAGACAAGCATGCAGATCCTGATCTTCATGTATTGGAACTCAAATATTGGGTAAATCCCAACCAGGTCTATCAAAGTGGCTTGAAGAATAGCCAGTTCGACCTAGAAGATGCTAGAAGCATCTGCTTGAAGAACTGTCCTATCGCATCAGAAGATTCACTCAGATGGGTCTGTGACTATCCACAGGGAGATATTCACCTATCAATGGATCAATGGGTTCAAAGGAATTATGATTATTTCGATTTCCTTACGCCAGATATGAGAAACGCTTCCCTCCAACTTCAGGGTCCCTGTTATCCTGTCCTTTTTCCAAGTGTAAATGGTAAGTGTCCAAGTGTTGGTAAACTTGTCTGTTTCCATCACAGCTTTCATGCCAAAGTTTATAATTTGGATAGGCATGTGACAGCTGCCTTGGTCCATGAAAGAAAAGTTCAAGTTGTATCACGGTATCACCTTCCTCTTGTGTTTCTGTGTTTTCATTTTAAGCATCTATGTCAATAGTAGAGAAAATGGAGCCATTTTCAACTCAGTTTTTGTCCCACATCATCAAGTTTTTGTTTGTTTGTTTGTTTGTTTTTTTTTTTAGAGTATCAAATTACATGGAGATTTTATTTTGTTTTAATTTTCAACAGTTTTTTGGAGGTGCCAATTTATTGCACGGGTGTCAAATGTGTCTCTGCTGCAATGGCACCTGATGGGCGGAGTAACTATCAATGAAGATATTCTAATAGATAAATCAATTCACAAATCCATCAACTCTAGATCTTCTGTATTGAAGGTAAGGAACTGGAAGCCTTATAAATTAGATGAATAAATGAAAAGTTATTCTTACATTCCTATTTACTTTTTTACTCAATATGATAAATGCTTGAGTTGCAATGTACATCATGAGTCAGATTTTCTAGCATATGATAATAATTCTGTTATGGTGCTTCTGAGAATTTTATTTCATTTACGGAATAGAATAAAAGAGAAATTAATTCTTAGATCTTTTCTAGCCTCGTCTGTACTACAATCACAAAAAGAGAGATTTTATCCAAGTAGCCCATCTTGATATCTGATGCTATAGTCAAAACTCCAAAGTATCTGTCATTTATTGCAGTGACCAATACATGCTCTCATTTTTTCCCTGATTATGTGTTCTCTATCTTCTCGATCGGCCATAAATGACACATTTTCTGACAGTCTGAAAAGATATAATCTACTTATTTCCGCAGAGGTATGTTGCTGATATTGGAAAGGCATGGCCAGTACTGATTGTTTGTGGAGGAATCATACCGGTGTTTTTGTCTGTGGTCTGGCTGTTAATGATTCGACATTTTGTTTCTGGGATGACTTGGATAACAGTCTTCCTCTTTAATGTTCTTATAGTATCAGTCACCATGTTCTGCTACTTAAAAGGTCAGATTTATGTTTTGTTGCCTTTTCTTATTGCTATTATATTGTGTTAAGGCCTAATTTCAATTACTAGTACTGCGAAGTGCTCTATTATTTTGAAGGATTTATACTTAGTCTCCTTGGATCCTAAGATTGCATTTAAAGTGTAAAATAGAAACATCAATTAAATAGTAGAAAATATGGCTTATACTGCACAACATAATTGAAGGTAAGCACCAAACTCAATAGAATAAGGTGCAAGAAAACCACATCAACTATAGATTATTCACACCAATGAAAATATTTTAGTGATGGTCCTAACTGTCGCTTGATTTGACTTTCTTTTAACAAATTTTACAAAATCCATTAAAATAATTTGCTTTAATTAAACATTAGAACCTGGAGCACAACAAAGCAGTATTCAGCCATTGGACAGAGTGCTTACAAACTTCTAAAACCTATTATCGTGGGTTGATCTTAACTTATGTTTTCTGTTAAGGAAATTTGATTTGAACAGTATCCATTAATAAAAAACCTAATTTACGTGATTGGCAAGCATAGGATTAGTACCGGACATCTTACGGATCCCACACGCTAGACAAAGCAAATATTTGGATTATGGAATGGTCGCATGAATGGGTGATATTTGAACATCTGATTCTACTTCATTCCTGTAGAAAAGTTCTGTAACAATACCTGTAAAAAGCTGAGATCTTGGTCCAATATCATTTCCAAATATTATTTTAATTATGGGAACTATCCACCCATCTTTTGGCTAGTGTTGAACTTTGATCCTTTCTTGAGTGTTTTTAGGTTTTTGAGTTGATTCAAACTGCCAAGGCTAAGTAATTTAAGCTTTGGGTTTAGGTTCATATATATATATATATATATGAAATTGAGTTAATCCTTTCGGATAAAGCTTTGGCACTTCGCAGAACCTATTTTGTGGCACTTTAACAGACAAGAATCATCTGTTCGATGTTATATTATTAGATGATTCTATGTCATATTATACCTAATTAAGACATTAGCTCAAGCCCCCCTCACGTTTTTGGGACTATCGTCCTTATTTTCTTATTTTATTTTTTAAAAAGGTACTGCTTGATAAAATAAACAAAATTCCCCTGCTCATACATATCTACTGATATGCCGATGGTAAATAATTGAGCTTTTGGGTCCATATACCTTCTTATTTTATATTTTATTATTTACAAAATTCCTGCTTGATCAATAAAACAAAGTTCCTCTGCTGTATGCATGTCTACTGATATGCCTGTTGTAAATATTTTCCTTTCTGTATTTTCCATAGCCTGCATATTCACCACTTCTTAATAATATTGGAGTAAGGGATTCTAAATCTTTATGGAAAGTTGCAGTTCCAAGTTTATTCGGTTATACACCTCATTGATGCTTTGCAATCACAATTGGTTTAAAGCTGAATTCCATTTTTAATTTGTGCTTGTAGCTGGATGGATTGGGAATGATGCCGTGTCCCCAATCATTGGTAAACATGATCCTTATTATCATTTATCTGGGAAAGTAAGTGCCACATCAATAAGAAAGCACATTTATATGGGAGTTTCAATTTTTTATTTCATTTTATTCATTTTTTCTACAGGAGCTAAGTCACCTTCGTGGTGTTGCAGCTATTATGACCATTGTAATGGTCATCGCTGTCCTCTCTTCACTTGCGATTGTCAGGCGCATCCTTATGGCAACATCGGTCTTGAAGGCAAGTATAATGATAAAAAGTGTTTGCTAATAGTGTAACATATAAAAATAAAATTGTTTGCTAATAGTGAAATATTCCTTCTTTATTTTATTTTTTTCCTTGTTTATTTCAAACTTCTAAAGTTTGTTAGGTAGGTTTAAGATCCTCGTCTGGTTATATGAACTAAAGTGAGATTAACTATGTAGACCATGTAATTTTGTGACACCACTTGATTTATATGCAGGTTGCTGCCAAAGTAATAGGAGAAGTGCGAGCTCTCATTGTTTTTCCTATCATACCATATGTTATACTGGCAATCTTTTACATGATCTGGTTATCTGCTGCTCTCCATCTTTTCAGCTCTGGAGAAGTCCACCAAACTAACTGCAAGTCAAATTGTTGTGCTTATGATCTTGGTTCTAAGCAGGTGAACTGTGATCGCTGTTGTGGTTATAGCATCCACTACACTCCTCATATAGGAGTTGCCATTGCTTTCCACCTCTTTGGGTGCTATTGGGCCACACAGTTTATTATAGCATGTTCTTGTACTGTTATTGCAGGATCGGTTTCCTCTAATTATTGGGCTATTGGTGAAACATTGGTAAGCTGCTAGACCATATATAAGAACATCACTAACACATCATTATCTGCACAATTGATTCAGATAGCGCCGTTGATCTGAGTATTGGAGTTGTGGAAGTTCTGCATTGTAGTTGACAAATTTATACAAATTATTTGACAAAATTGGGATTATAAGCTCTTAACTCTCCCTCTCTCTCTCTCTCTTCAATTTTCTAACAAAAAAATTTATGCTCATAACCTCTCCAAGTAAAAGGCATTACTTTTTTCATGCAGCAAGAAGTTCAATTTCTTCCAGTCTTTTCTTCAATGAAGCGGCTCATGCAATACAGTCTAGGATCTGTGGCTATAGGCTCTTTAATTGTTTCATTCATTGAATCTATACGCTCTATACTCAAGTCAATCCGCCGGAAACTGAAAGTTTTTAATGCCAGACCTCAAAATTGGTTGGGAAAGATGGCATTTTATTCTTCTCAGTGCAGCCTTACATGTATCGACTGGAGCATCAATTCTGTGAACCGCAATGCCTACGTAACGGTAATTCGATCTCTTGTAATATTATTTTTCAGTTATAAAATCCTATATAACTTGATATGAATTTGGATTTGGTTATAAATTTTCAATATAAATTTTATTTAAACCAAAACTTGTTTTTTCCACTTAAACAAGTCATACTAAAACTTTTAGGGCAGTTGATTTTTTTGAATTTCTTCTTCTCTTTGCAGATTGCCATAATGGGTGAAAATTTCTTTACTTCTTCTGCAATTGCAACAAGGATTATCAGGAATAACATTCTTCGGATAGGGAAGGTGAATGTGATTGGAGACGTAATTCTTTTCCTTGGAAAATTATGTGTGAGCCTCTCAAGTGCTCTATTTGCTTTTCTCATGTTGGATACTCAAAAGTACAGATCTTCCCACAAGAAGGTCTCCTCACCACTGTTTCCGGTGCTTGTAAGTTTTCTATCATTCAATCATGTTTCAAAATTATATTTGATTCAACAGTGAATGAAATATGCAGCTCTTGCATATACTGGCTTGGACTAAGAAAAAATAAATAAATACTGGCTTGGGTCCTATGTATGGATAAAAAAAACATATCTAGAGATAAGAGTGAATAAGATTCAGATTTAGGTAGTATGTAGACTGCATCCTCTCTTCTCGTAGTTGTTATTGATATTTTTTTCTAAAATTTTACAGAATAGTTTGTTAATAACCATCTACTCCAAAAGCTTAAGCTATTAGAGAGGGCGCAACTTTTATATTTATATCCTTCAACACACCCCCTCACGTGTGGCCTTCTTTTTGATCCAACACGTGTTTTTCAATTTTTTAATTAGGGTGACGGTGGGGTTTGAACTCGAGATCTTTGGCTCTGATACCATGTTAATAACCATCTACTCCAAAAGCTTAAGTTAGTGTTTCATCTTGGTTCTTAGCACTTCAAAGATATTACGCTATCATTTATCTGTTATTTCCTTCCATGTTTTTTTAGATACTGAAAATGAATTAAATACCAGTAAAAAGTTGTTAATGGCTGCATTTATGCAGGTATGCTGGGCTCTCAGCTATGTTGTTGCAACCCTTTTCTTTGCAGTGGTAGAGATGTCTATAGACACCATAATCCTTTCCTTCTGCCAAGATTCTGATGAGCATCAAGGAACTGCACAGTATGCTCCTCCCCTTCTTATTGAAACTTTCAATAACCAAAATGAGTTGCAAAGATTGACCCAGTGATCTTGTGCAGATATGTGCATATTCATGTCATAGTTACCCAATTTGTTATATATTTTTTATTTTTTATAAAAAAAAATAAAAAAATGGAGGGTGTCCCTGTCCCTAGTGGGGCAGGATAAATCCCTTCGGAGACCCACAATCACCCCCAAACCATGGCTATCGGGTAAAACCACTCCAACTCGACTGCCCCATGGAAGTTCCAAATTGTTGTTTTTACCGCTCAAAAATGTATTGAGGCACCGTGTGTGTTATTTTTTCAGGCTTTGGTTTCCTGTTTTTCTGACTTCTCTGGTTTATTCTTTCTTTTTCTCTTTTCCACACCTTATATAGTGATTCTTGAACAAAATTATAGTCCATTTAAAGATGGAACTTTTTTTACCCTATTTTGACATCAGCACTTGCACTAAATTGTACTATTGACTTCATAAATTGCTGTATCCTTTGAAATATATCTTCCTTCAGTTACTATGAGTGGAAACATTAATCTATAGTGTGAAAAATGGCCATAAAGATCTAGAACTAAGTTGGGTGAAAATCAAATCATTTATCAAGAAATATTCGTGATATGTGGTGCATGCAACCTGTATTATTATTTACTGTATATCTTATTTATTGATATGTGATACTACCAAAGATTGAGTGAGCTGTTGCTAGCATGTTTTTGCTTTGGGTATAGTTGTGTTTTTTTATTTTCTTATTATGTTAGTATTTTACTAGTAATGTAATCAAATCCTATATATTAAATTATTCAGCTCAAAATTTGTACAATTTAAAATTTGGCGGAGTTTGGAAGAGAAAATGAGAATGCATGTGTGAGAACGGTAAGAGGTCTCTCATTCATGTTGGATCTGTTTCTGGGATTCCCTTATTTGGAAATCATAAAATTACGTTAACAGAACCTGATACTTCGCTCACACAAGCCTCATTTATTGGATTCTAAGAACTGCAATTCACGGTTTTGTTGCCTCCCCTATTTAGGCCTCTCTCTCTCTCTCTCTCTGAAACAAGAATTTAATGCAGTCATGGAAAACTTCAGGTATATAAGGCCTTCTAGGATTAGGTCACTCAAAGCACTGTGGTTAGCTAACAATGGCAGCATCAAAATGGGCATATATGGCCTTCATGATTATATTAAGCTTAGGAATCAGCTCTGCTTATAGAGTACCACCCACAGCCCCTTCCACCACCACCCCCACCACCGAGACCAGGCATGCTGATAAGCCTGATAGCCAAGAACCTAATGGAGTATGGTCATGGGGCGCAGGTATTGGTTTGACCCCTGGTGGGAGTTCTGTTGATGCCTCAGGCAATGGCCAGGGCAGTAGTGGGGTGTGGGGTAGCATTGGTGGTCAAATAAATTTTCCTGGGATTGGCGGTGGCAGCTGTAATGGATGTGGCGGTGGCGGAGGAGGAGGAGGTGGTGGAGGGATCACCATACCAGGATTGGGACCTCTTTATTGCGTACCGGCAAGTTGCTACAACAACGGTCATGGTAGTAATTGTAATGCAAATAATGCAATTGGTATAGGGTTTTGGTCAGCACAATCTAAAATGTCCACCGATGGAGGAATCAACACCGAAAATGGTGGGCCAGAAGGGTCCTCCAACACATCCCCCCATGAAACCAATGGCAAAGTTTCATCCGCAAATAACAATGGAGCCCATGGTGACAACTCGGCTCTTGGTCAGCTCTTGGAGCAACCCGTTAGCACAGGTCCTTAGGGTAGTTCTGGTGTAGGCATTTGTCATGTGGGTCTATGCATTGTAATAATAAGACCTCCTAGTTCAGTTTTAATTGAAGCCGCATTCAAATGGTGAAAACAAGTGCTCAAATCAATCATAGAATAATGGATGTATTCTTCACACACACACACACACATCAGATACTATTTTATGGCAAGGCCAACATTTCCCAATTAACTTGCAATAGGGATTGAGATGGCCAGCTCAATCATCTATTGCAAAAGTTTAATCTCACAAATACAAGCAAGTGGACCAAAATTTCTTACACCATATTATGTTATCTAAATCAATACTTCTGAATTTGTTACACTAGTTAAATGAAAACCTTGTTGTAAAATGACAGATATAGCCTTGAAATTCAGGGCATACCACTTTGCTTTCAAAGAAAACACAGTAAAAAAGAACAAGCCAGGAGGGAAAGGACTGTAACAATTTCCACAAGCCTCTCTAATGATTTTGAGGTCATCGGAACAGATCAAGGATCCATCCCCAGCTATTCCCCAGTGAGCACGTTAGGTCGTTTTTTCTTCATGGACTAAAACTGCTAACAAATTATTAAACATTTGAATACAGTCTTCACAATTTAAAGATAAATTATTCTGATGGTTAAAAAGTGGTCTCAGGATGCCGTGACCGGAAAATCTCCGAGATCTCTTCCCTGGTTTTCAAATTCATCATCCCCACCAACGGAAGACTCAGGCTCCTGGGGTGATTTCTCAATGGGTTTCTCAAAAACGGCCAACATTTTTCCGGCATAACAACTGCTTCAGCCCAACTTTTAATTTCATCTTTTAAAATGAATTAAATTTGCATTTTGACATCAATGGTTGATTTGTTAGAACTTAGCACAGATAAGAGGACCTTTTTTTTTTTTAATTTAATTTTTTTGAAAATTCCATACACGTAGGGATGCACACAGAAACTACAAGAAGCTGCATATTGTGGTACTGAAAAATATATACGTAGTGGTATATTACTCATGTATGTCAATATTTTCTGCTAAATAAACAATAGGAATCAGCTTAGGTGTCTTGCAATGTTGTAGTGAAATGCGATGGATATTGCCGCTCAATTTGAAGAAGCTGTCGTTAAAATTAAGTCTCAAGTATTTCTTCATCCAAATCGGTCCATTCTAGAAAAGCATTGGAATCCTCCTCCCTGCATCTTACAGATATCAGTCTGTCATACTTACACAATTCTGACGGGCCCACACCATGGACGTGGTGAACATCCACCAATGGTTATAAAGTGATTCTGGTTATACTTACACAATTATGACGGGCCCACACCACGGACGTGGCGAACATCCACCAATGGTTATAAAGTGATCCTGGGTAATACCATGGTCTGTGTCCTCACCAATCACCATAACCTCCCGAAAATAATCAAGTTCTCCGCGTATAAATTTATCATACCGCAGCAAAATGCACTACTTACCTTCCTTTTCAAGAGTGAGTGACAACTTGTTGCAGCATTTTTTTGGCTATTTGGAAGACCTCTGATACTGCTCTTATTCAGTCGGACCCTGATTTTTCCATATTGGACAAGGACAGTATCGTCATCATCTGCAGGTTCTTCAACTACAGTAGCCAACTTACTTCCTAATCCCTTTGCATGAACTTGTTCACCAAGCTGTGGTGTATAAGAGCGGACATCTGCATCTTTAACAGAGAAACCATCAGTAGGGCAACGAGTTTCAACAATGGATGCAATTGCAGACTCTGCTTTCTTGACAAGTGAATTGAACTGATCAGCTCTTGCAGATCTAAGCTGATTCTCAAACTCCTGATTTATTGTTTCTATCTGAGATTTAGCAGTCCTTAATTCTCGTCCAACCTGTCGGGTTTCCTTAGCCTTAAGAGCTACCTCACGCCCATCAAGATCTTCTGCCTCATGTCGGATCTTCATTTAAACAAAAGAAAAAAAGGAAGTCAAGAAAATAATAAGATGTCATTACGTAAAGGAAATTACAGTCTACGCGCTGCAATCAAGAAACCTCAATGACAATAAATTTTACATTAAAAAAAAATGTTAAATGTACATAATGTAACTTATAAGTGATAAAAGTGCAGTTTTGTTAGGAGAATGCAAAATGGTTCCTGTTGGCCTGTGTGTCACAGTAATGGCATATAAGCACAAAATTTCTGTAAAATCCATTCATGATAATTTCAAGAATCATGACCGTGACAATAACTGAACCACAGGCTCCCTAAAAATTGGCCATAACTGGCAATTATAAATGAAGTCATGTTCTCGTGGGTGGATGACATTCTGGTTGCATTACAAGCTTCAATGCCAAAGTTACTAATATAACAGTAAATCCCTCAAAGAGGACACTTAGAAGTCAAGGAAGCTTGATAACCAATCTTATAAACAAACACCTTACAAAACAGTCACACAGCACTGTAAATTAGCTGAAAGTGAGTCAGTTCAAATACTAAATTGACCCAATGCTTCATATTTAACACAACTCAACTAAGTCCAATCCCAATTCTTAGGTTGTCCAATGTGTATCTCATATTAAGAAGTAAAATGAAGCGTCAACAAAATACCTACAGGGAAAAAATTATAATGAGAACTTTACACTTCAGCTGAACCTTCATGTATAAAGGGATGCAGCTCGCCTTGCCTGAGATTCTAATCTGTTCCTTTCCGCTTCCGCTGCTTTTCTGGCATCAACCTCTCAACCCATATTTTGCCCGTTCAATTATTTTTTCATCAAAGTCAATTGATTTGGCAATAGTCAAGGCATTTGAGTCACCCATGCTTCCCCAAAGTATCTTATAGGTAGGTTGTAGAGTCTCCAGAGAAAATTCCATTGCTGCATTTTCAAATAGAGTGTCCTTTTCTTCCAGGCAAGATAAATCAGAATAATGGGTAGTCACCACAGCTAAGGAAACGCTATCTTTGAAATACTGCAAGATGCTAGCTGAAAGCGCCACACCTTCTGAAGGATCAGTCCCACTCCCAATTTCATCAATAAGGACAAGCGATTCTTTTGAGGCTACTTCCAAAATCTTACAAAGCCGTGATAGGTGCCCACTAAAAGTTGAGAGACTTTGTTCTAGAGACATCAATTGAAAAATATGAAGTTCAGAATAACATGAAACAGTTTTTACCAAACAGAAACAGAGAACTAAAAGAAAACCAGAACACACACAAACACATACATGCATACATATATATATATATGTAGAGAGAGAGAGAGAGAGAGAGAGAGAGACAGCTATTACCTGGTGATCTCCAATAACTGCAAGAACAAGATCAAACCATGGAACCCTTGGTTGGTTTTTAGTAGGCAAATACATACCAGCCTTCAACATGACATATGTCAAGCCCAGTGTTTTCATGGATGCAGTTTTGCCTCCCGTATTAGGTCCTGAAATCACAACTATTCTGGTTTGACATCCAATTTTGATGTCAACAGGCACAGGAAAATCCGATTCACCAGATAATACTTCAGAAATTATCACACATTTTCTCTCATCCAAGGCAACTGCACTCCTAGATTTAGATGAAGAAAGATCTGACAGACTCCTCAGAGAGATCACAAGAAGCAGTGGATGTTGTATTCCTTTGATGTCTACTGATAAAGAATGGCCAGTTCTATTAGATTTAAAACTCTTACAACTCTCTGAACTTAAAATTGGACAGACCCCATTAATCAATTGAGCACGACCAGCTCTGGCAAAAGCCAAGTCAAGTTCAATAATTCTATCCAACAAATATTTGATATCTATTTTTGCTTCTGCAATTCCCGATGTAAGCATGCTCAAAATGGCTTGTTCCTCAGCCTTCTCAGAGTTTTGAAAGCCTCACTTCCATGTTATTCAACTCCACTGCCTCTCTAGGTTCCATAAAGTATGTTGCTCCAGAACTGCTAACATTTAGGACTACACCATCTGGAAGCAAAGATTTGTGGGAAGCCCTAATACCAACACACATCCTTCATCGGCGATTAGTTATCAATGGTCTGTCAATGCCACCATCCTGAAATATTCAAGCTGATAACAGAGAATCTAGATTTCCCATGTTCCTCTTCTTTCAGACCTAATAATCTCCAAGTTCTCACTGGCTCTATCAAGGATTTTTGAAAAATTACAATCTATACAAAATCGTATTTTTTGCTCCAACTCCACCAGGAAATTGCAATTCTGGAGGATTTCAAACAGCGAAGAGTACCTGTTCGAATATAGACAACCTAATGAAACTGCCCATATTTTTAACTAAATTAGATTTTAATGCAGCGGTTCAGTCATAAGCTAAAGGAAACAAAAACTGAAAACTAGATTCCAAATGTGGCAATCCTTCAAAAACAACTTTAATTTTTGAACATTCTTACTGAGACACCATGACGGTCGATTGTCATTAGATAATGTATGCTTCCCCCAGATTACGTCAACTGCCAAACAAAAAACAATACCTAAGACATGCTCGGATAAAGAACTCTTACACACACAAATAGTTCAAAGAACAACTTTTGAAGCCTGAAACATTTTCATCTTACATATCTTGAACCATATTAAATTAGAAAGCTGACAGAATTTTAAACGCTTAATCCATCCAGAGAAGGCGCCAACTCAGAAACTTTTTGGTAAAGTTTTGGATATCCATTTCCGACATGGGAAGTGATCATAACTAATTTTGCAGGCATTTATAAATTGCAAGCTTGAAAATCAGTTAACAAATCGAAAAATTGCAATTCCAGAAATAAACTGCGTAATACGGTAATACACATAAATACACACAGATTTACGTATATATATATATATATATATATCGAGGTGTATGTAATACAAACTCAATGCAAGTAACAACAGATTCGTATTACCTTTCATAACAATCACCACTCAAAGAAGCCTCCTCCAACTGCTCGGACAAAGTTCTCGCCGACTTCAGTGTTCGCTTCACTGCGAAAACCTCTCCACTCCTGACCAATTCGCCGGAGACTGAAGAATTCACGATCTCCGACACGTCCT